TCAAGACAAACCTGCGTCCGCTCAAGCCTCAGAGTCAAAATGAGGATTAAATGTGCCATTTTGTGTACCATCAAGCTCAACTCAGACACAACCTACTGATCAATCTCAAGTGCCAGCTGTCATTCATCATCAACGTCAACTCAACCAAATTGAACACTCACCAACACGATTTGCTGTACTCTTGGCAACAGCTGAAGCACTTTTGATCACTCACCACTCAGCTACACCTGTCAGACTGCTCATTGACCCAGGGTCTGAATTAACATTCATCTCAAACAATCTGGTGTCAGCATTAAAACTCCAGAGACAACACTCAACAATTCCAATCAAAGGAATTGGAAATAAACTGACCATTTACACACTAGGTCAAACTTTAATAAAGCTCCAATCTCGTCATGACTCACAATCAGTTATTGTAAAGGCTCACATATTACGACAACTCACAACCACTCTTCCAACAATAACTGAAGAAAATCTACATTGGCCAGAACTTGAATCACTCAACTTAGCTGATCCTGACTATCTATCACCACGGTCAGTGGATATTATTGTGGGTGCTGATTATTATGGATTAATTAGCAAGCCATCACTCATCAGATGCCAAGAATCAGCATTGATCGCTCAAGAAACATTATTTGGTTGGGTAATACTTGGCCCAATACCTCACTCATCATCGTCGACTCATCATGCATCAACTCACCTGGTTGTTGAACAATCAGAGAATCAACTCAACGACTTATTGCAAAAGTTCTGGACTCAAGAAGAAATAGCTGACAGTGATACTCAACAAAATTCACCAGATGATGAATCATGTGAACTTCACTATCGAACAACTCACTCACGTGATCATACTGGAAGATACACTGTCAGAATTCCATTGAAAACATCGCCAACTCACCTTGGAGCATCATTTAACACAGCCTATAGATGCCTGAAAAGAACAATTCAACTGCTCAACAAGAACAACTCCTATGCTAGCCTTTACAAAGCATTCATGAAAGAATACGAAGATCTAGGACACATGGTGAAGGTAACATCACACTCATCAATGAAGACAGGACAACCAGTGATTGTTTCTGGTGATCTGACGACTGGGATGACCTTAGCACATGATACTCCGGTATCAGGAGGGTTGAGGGTCTCAGGAGAAGGGTCATTGGAGCATTCAGCTGGCTCTTGTGCTTCTAACTCACACTCTAATCCGTATTACCTGCCTCACCATGGTGTTCTACGTGAAGACAGTGAAACAACAAAACTCAGAGTAGTATTCAACGGATCCAGCAACTCATCAACTGGTCTCTCGGTCAATGATCTTCAGTATATTGGACCGAAAATTCAACGAGACATTGCAGACATACTCATCTGGATCAGACAGTATCGAGTTGTCTTCTCATCAGACATTACAAAAATGTATAGACAAATCAATGTTCATAAGGACGATTGGGACTTGCAACGAATCCTTTGGATTGATGATCGACTCAACGCAGTTCCATACCAGCTCACAACTGTCACCTATGGCACTCGATCCGCTCCATACCTCGCAATTCGCACTATGTTACAACTTGTCGAGGATGAGGGACAGAGATTCCCGCTAGCAAAAGATCCACTCATTAAAGGCAGATATATAGATGATATCTTTGGAGGATCTGACTCACATGAACAACTCAAAGAAATTGCATCACAGGTAATTCAACTGTGTGCTGCAGGAGGATTTCCATTAGCAAAATGGCACAGTAACTCACTCAACTTTATCCAGCACATCTCAACAAGCTCACCATCTGAAACAACTCACATATTTGAAAACAGCAGCGCAAAATTGCTAGGCCTGTCATGGATCCCAAGATCAGACACATTCAAGTTCAACTCAAAGCCACCATGCGCACGTTCCAAACTCACAAAAAGGATTATTCTATCCGAGACTGCTCAACTGTATGATCCACTTGGTTTTCTTGCTCCGTTCATAATACGAGCAAAATCACTCCTACAAGAACTTTGGCTGTCGAAAGTTTCCTGGGATGATCCAATTCCAACTCATCTTGAAACCAAGTGGAAAAACATCCGTCAAGAACTCACCTGTGTATCAGAAATTTCAATACCTCGATGGTTAAACACCCTTAGCTCATCTTCAGTTCAACTTCATGGATTTTCCGATGCTTCTCAACTAGCTATGGCTGCTGTTATCTATATACGATCGATTGGACCAGATAATAAGATACACTCAACGCTTGTTTGCTCAAAAACAAGGGTTGCTCCACTCAAGAAACTCTCAATACCACGACTAGAACTCAGTGCAGCCTTACTACTTGCAAAATTACTCAAATACGTCCACCAAATACTCGACGTAAAGCCAACTCACATTTATTTATGGACAGACTCAACAGTTACACTCACCTGGATCCAAGCTCACCCGTCTCGCTGGAAAGAATTTGTCAGAAACCGAGTGTCAGCAATTCAAGATCTGTCTCCAAATAGCGTGTGGAGACACGTACCTGGCAAAAGCAATCCAGCAGACTGTGCTTCACGTGGACTTACTATCTCCCAACTCCAGAAGCACTCACTGTGGTGGACAGGCCCACAGTGGCTCATCAAGGACGAATCAACATGGCCAACTCAAGAGTTTAAGTTTGACTCACAAGCACAAATAGAAGAGCGACCGGGGCTCTCACTCAATGTGGTATCAAATCAACCAAAATTGCATTGGGAGATGCTCTTAAAATTCTCATCACTCACGCGACTACTCAGAGTAACCGCAATTTGCTTTCGAGTTAGCCAACTCATCAAGAAGATACCACACTCAAGTCTCTATTACCCGTTAACGCCACTCGACATCGAACGGGCTAGAGTACTATGGATCAAATCAACTCAGTCTGCATATTTTAAGAATGAACTCAACATGATCAGCTCATCAAGACTACCAAAAGGACATGCCCTACTTCGACTCACTGCCTTCATTGACACTCAAGGCATTGTGCGAGTAGGTGGACGACTCACTAACTCATTGATGGAACGTGATACTATGCATCCAATCATCCTACCGCAGACTGCTCACTTGTCAAAACTCATCATCGCCGACGCTCACCAAAAAACAATGCATGGTGGAACACAAGCAACACTCACCTTCATACGGCGATCTTATTGGATTCTGGGTGGTCGGATTCCAGTTCGATCATTTATTTTTAACTGTATGAAGTGTGCTCGACAACGTGGCGAACGAGCACAGCAGCTAATGGGTCAACTACCAGCAAGCCGAGTCACCCCATCTCGACCCTTCTCCATTAGTGGCGTGGACTACGCTGGTCCTGTCACTCTGAAGTCATGGAAAGGGAGAGGCGCCAAACATCAAAAAGGATGGATGTGTGTCTTTGTTTGCTTCTCAACTTCTGCAGTTCATCTAGAACTTGTCAGTGATTATTCATCAGACTCATTTATTGCTGCTTATAGACGATTCACAGGGCGAAGAGGCATCTGCACAACACTCTACAGTGATTGCGGCACAACTTTCATTGGAGCAGATGCACAACTCAAGCGACTATTCAATCAGGGAACTCAAGAATTTTCTCATCTGCACTACTCATTGACAAATGAAGGAACAACTTGGAAGTTCAACCCGCCAGCAGCTCCTCACATGGAAGGAAAGTGGGAGGCAGCTGTAAAATCAATTAAATACCATCTCAACCGTACTGTTGGCGAAACAGCACTCACTTTTGAAGAATTCAATACTCTGCTCATCCAAATTGAAGCTATACTCAACTCACGACCTTTGCAACCACTCACAGAAGACCCTGATGATCTGTCAACACTCACTCCAGCTCATTTTTTGATTGGTGAACCACTTACAGCAATTCCAGAACCATCATTACTCACTATTCAACCATCTAGATTGACTCGATGGCAACTCTTACAACAGAAAATGCAACTGTTCTGGAAAACATGGTCTTCTCAATACCTGCAACGACAACTATCAATCTCAAAGTGGTATCACCGTTCTCACCAATTGAAGGTTGGATCTCTAGTTCTACTCACTGATGAGAGGTTCCCACCAGCTAAGTGGCCTCTTGCCAAGATCACTCAACTCATCCCAGGATCAGATGGACTCACCAGAGTAGTCAAGCTCAAGACAGCAACAACTGAACTCACCAGACCAATCACCAAACTGGCTATTCTTCCCTACTCACCTCACGATGACCAACTCAACGACGACCAATCAAGCAATGATCAGCATCAAGTTGCTGATGGCGGGGAGAATGTTGAAACTTAGTACAGTTTCAATCTCCTTGAAAACTTTGAATTTTTTCCTAATCGGGAGACAGTCATGTGGAGATACATGACTGCCCGCTCAACTACCCAATGACGACTCAGAAAGGTGACCAATCCCGGCCATACTCAACTACAGGGTGACTTGTCCGCGTCAACCAGCACTGGCGAGGTTCTTGCCCGCCTGTTGCTGCGGCAAGTCATCCTCCTTGTTCGTGTCTCGCATGCACATCGCACGTGCTTAGTGACGCTCATCGGTTCAATTCAGTTTTTAAGTGAAATACTCAATGTTTGGGCCCAAAATCAACTCATAAGTGTTTGTATCATCCTCAAGATCATTTTGATGTTTTATAAGCTCAACAAAAATCGAAGTGCCACTCTGTAACGAGAGATTATTCATCGCGCCGCGGTACCGGCATTATTCAAGTGTTGTGTCTCACTCACTCATCCTACAACCATTGCCTGGCTCATGAGACAACACATAGACAGTGCGTTAGGCGTGAAGAACTCATAATTACTAGTAAACTAAATCATAAGAGAAGAACTCATAGACTTAAATTTTTCTTCATAATACTGTGATAGTGATTATATATATATTTTTTAAGAAATATATCCGTTTTTTGTTCAATACGAAAACACGTGTTAAGAGAATCTTTTTTCACCCACTGCTGGGTGTATCGACCTACATTCATCCATCCGAAAAGATTACAGTCCACTCCCTGTCACCTTAGCGATACAAATTAATTTTAATTATTAAGTTTTCTGATCTTAATCGCAACAGTTGCGAATACGTATTGATGTTGACGAACCCAAAGAAGTACGTCGAAGATGTCTAATTGAATTTTTGCTCCAGTATGAGTGATGTCATTCAATGAGATTCCAGTTGACGTCGGGCTGGATCCATTGAAGACTACTCTGAGCTTGGTGGTAGTGCTACTTGGCCTTAATACCCCATGATGAGGAAGAAAATATGGATGAATGTCTTGAGATTCTGGATTGATTGTTGGAGCAGGTCTCATATGACCGAGTTCTTCGTATTCTTTCATGAATTGTCTGTACAGATTACTGTATTCAGTCTCGTTGGTTAATCTCCTCAACTGACGCCTCAAACATCGATACGCAGTTGTATAGGAGTCCCCAAGAGCTGAGGGTGAAGAAATGAGTGGGATTCTAACAATATATCGTCCTGATGAATGTCTAGAGTGAGTTGATTTAAAGAAATCTTCACATTGTTGGTCCAAGGATGATAATTGATGTTGATTTGACATAGGGACTTCTTCTTGGACCCAGAATTTTGTTAGCAACTCTTGAATGTCTTCATGGTTCGTAATTGTAGTAGCATGATGAATGTGATAGTGATTGACTGATGAATTTGGTGCTACTGGACCAAGAATTAGCCAACCAAAGATAGAAAGTTGAGCTATAGGAGCTGTTGGAGAATGAAATATGATATTTTGTTTGATGATTTCTCCATAGAAGTCAGCTCCAAGTAGAATGTCTATCGATTGTGGAGTGTTGAATGTTGGATCAGCTAGTGTTAATCCATTGAGATGAGGCCAGTGATTGTTGGGATAATTACATGGCACTTTTGGAATTAAAGCTGTCAACTGTTTCATTATGTGAGCTCGAATGTGTACTGAATGATTGGATGATAATGATTGTAGCTCGCAGAATGTTACTTCTTTTGTTTAAGTGAGCTTAGAGCTGCCCACTCCTCTTATGTTGATTGTTTGATGGTGTTTTCTCAGTTGCAGCAGATTGGCTAGATGAGAAGTGATTAGTGTTAGCTCTGATCCAGGATCTACGAGCACTCGTGCAATGTAACTCCCTAAGTGTGAATTGGCTTTGACTTTTGCTGTTGCTAACAGCGTTGAATGATCATCATGTAGATGACCTGGAATTGTTTGACTTGAGCAGATTGCTCTCGTCGGTGATTGTCTGCTGAGTTGAGTTGATTTAACGTCACTTGATTGATGATTTTGTGTGCTGATAGCACTACTAGTTGAATGTTGATTGATTGTTTTGTGGTCATTCTGACCTTTTGATTGTCCTAGATGATTTTGCTGCTTCTGAACTTGTCCTTTGGACCATTCCAACTGAACCTTCAACCCTCCTGAGGCCGAAACCTCATGTGCTAAGGTCATCCAGTCAGTTTGACCCTCCAGAGCAAGTCCATCAGCAAGCTTGAATGTCTGTGAATTGTTTGAATGTTCTTCGAAGACTGCTTCGCCTCCTCATTGCTGTGAAGTTGAAGGCTGAGTGTCTGATGATGATTGTTGTGATGATTGTGTCCTGGAAGACGCTTGATTGTTGTTGCTTGATGATTGTCTGAATAGTAGTGAATGGAACATTGTATGATGTTTAGAGTTGCACTCCTTACATCTGTTCTTGTTGGTGCAAGCTGGTGTGTTGTGTCTTCCAAGACAGTTCCTGCAGAGTTTTTTACTGTCTACAGTCCTCAATCGCTGTTCAAGAGGCAAAGCCCTGTAGTCTGGGCAGACTACGATGAAATGACCGCCATTGCAGCAGTCACAAATGAATCTACGCTCACTGGTGGTTAAATGCGAGGAGCGTTGTTGATTGTCTGATATGATTTGTGGCTCCAGTTTCTCCAAGGTACAAATCCGAGCCAGCAGAAACTCACGAAACTCTGAGTACGTAGGCATCCGCTCAAGATCATTGTCCTGAGTTTCCCAGAGCTCACGAGAATGTTGGTCAAGATGTTTGAGAATGTGAAAGATGAGAATTGTATCCCAATTCTCAGTTGATTGTCCCAATAGCTTGAGTGAGTCCAATGAATTGTCTACGATGGTGAGTAAGGATGATATCTTGGCTGAATGAAAAGCAGCTCTTTTAGACTCAGCAAACTGGCTGAAGAGTTTTTCCAGGTGAACATTGATGAGCCTCTTGCGATTCTCGTACCTGGATTTGAGTGTCGACCATGCCTTGGTGAATGATTCCTTCGTGTGAGGAAGGTTCTCTACCAGAGAGAGAGCTGGACCTGAAAGAGCTGATTTGAGATAATTAAATTTGATTACCTTATCCAGACCAGGTTGATTGGCTATCATGGACTCAAATTGATCTCTGAATGACAACCAGGAGGCACTGGTTCCATGAAATTTTGGTACTGATAACTTTGGAAGTCGGGCTAATGCTTGTGCTACATCAGATGCACCACTGGTTGATGTTGATTGTGCTGGAGGCTCCTTGGAAGCTACCTTGGGTGGAGTAACAACCCGAATGATGCTTTCGGTAGCTGATCTATTACTTGGCTGAGCTAATGGATTATCCATTTGATCGGTTGGACTGCCAAACTCCTCTGCACCATCGTCAGGAGTCACGCTGATTGTTGGTTGAGGCTTCGAGGTCGTGGACTCTTGGTTCTCACTCTTCCTGCCTTGGTCGGCCATTTTGTGCACTCACACACTTGATTCTCTGAAGCAGTACACTGATAGCACCAAAAATTTGTACTTCAAAACCGAGAGCTCTGATCCGGCTCGAAGGACCATTAAATGTTGAGAAAATCTCAACTTGTGAATTAACCTAACCGTTTAAGGATAGGGATGATTGTGCCGAAACAGAGCAAACGGAAGTCAGGTTTTATAGCAAAATAAAATATCTTTATTTTCAGCTCTAACAGGTACACTAAATACACTGACAAACTTGAGTTGTTCACTAGGAAGACTGAATGTCGCTCAAAATCACTGAATGTCTAGTTTAAATTACTGAATGTGAATTGAATGTCTAAAAAATACTCAACTTGGTGTGTTCCCACACGAGCTTAGCACGCTTCTCAAGTTGAGCAAGAATATGATTGTGCACGTGGCGTTAGCCTATCAATGCAATGCAAATGAATTTGATGAAATGTCTTGAATTTACAATGAAATATCGTGAAATATTACTTGATTATAGATTTGGAGTAAAGCCTGAATTTTTCTGATGGTTTACAATAGCACTAGTACTGATGATTGACTCAAAATTGTAAGATTTGCTAAGAATGAATGAGAATGGCGTGTACACGTGAACGAGAACAGTGAAAGAATGGCGACAGGAACTTCATTAGTCAAAGAGGACACAGAAAATAAGTCAAATGAGTGACTAGATTAAGAATTATTGATTATTTGGTCGATTGGTTATCGACCCAGTCCCAAGATGGCCGCCGAAGTTCCTGTCAGCTGGCAAATTCAAACTAAGAATTAATTAATTCTCAACTATTTTTCTAAAAAAAAGTTACCAACCGTACGACATGAATCGAAACTCATTTTGATTCTGCATAAAAATTGGTTATGAAAAATGGAAACGGGTTCTATTCAAATTGTCTTTTTATTTTTTCCACTGGGAAGTTGGTCGTGTGGACCTTTCGGGTCGCACCCAGACCACTGCAGAGCACTGATATATTTTTTTTTTATTTGTTTTTTTTATTTCTTTAACTGATCAGTTTTAACTTTAGACTTTCTCGTATAACAGAAACCCCACCCCTTCATGCTTAGTGTTAACAAAACAACTACATAGACATTCACTGTCGTTCTCATCTTCTGTCCCTCATTTATTATTTTAAATGAATTTATTACTAAAAAAAATTGTTTATTCTGTTTTAAAACTACGTTGCATTAAGCCCAAGGTAGGATTCCCGCCACACGATCACGTCTTTTGTTTTTTCACACTCGAATCTGCTTCTAGGCTCTCTTTGTTTGATTTCCGGAATTCCGTTTGTTTTAAACTGGTTCAAACCTGTTCAAACTCGTTACTGTCCACAAACTTTTGTCATTTTTGTTGTGTTTCAACTAAAACAGACGTTATATGTCTATATCTATTTGCAAAAAAATGGATTAATTGTCATTTATTAATATTTTTATCCTTTCAACTTTGTTTAAGTGATCCATTCTTCACTTTAAAACCCCCTAATCTCGTGCTACAGTACGTCTGCTGAGCACTTTAAGTCTGTTTCTTCGTCACTCTTTACATTATCATGGCTCCAAATTCACATGACAATTATTTCTCGTCACCTTTTTCGTTGTTAATAAAAGAATCATTCTTGCATATTGAATCCGTCATACTCAAGACTTCGTCTCTTTCAGACGTAGACGTCGATAGCTTGCTGTCCATGCTTTTCTTTTCACAGCACTAAACAAAAAGATTTATCTTCTTTTTTACTAAAGGAACACTATTTTTTTTATTATCATGCGCAGTGGAATCCGTGGAATGGGCCAATAACCTGTTAGATTCTGGGTATTATATCAAATGAAAATATCTTTGTTGAATCAAACTAAAGTCGTATCTTTACTCACTCGGAGCGTTCGCTCTCGCACACAAAAACATAATAATAGAGATAGTCGAAAAGCCGGGAGTTTGAAAGGCGACCACCATCGACCCGAACGCCCTTTCTAATGAATCGGCGCCATATTTCAAATTCCAACATGTGTTATATCATGTATTTTTCGTGTTTCAAAGAAAACTTCATATTTTTAAATTCTTCAACTCACAAGTTTGTTTTCCATTCATCATGTTCCTGAAGATAAATGAAAAAGAATTGTATTATTTTTTCAAACAAGTCATTAAAATTCGTGTTTTTAAGAAATAAATTACACATTTCTAATTATTTTCAACAATTAGAATTTATTACTACAAGATCTTATTGCAGTGAAAACAACAAATGCTGAATGACACTTTTTTACACAAAAGAAAAAATATCATAGCTTTCTTTTGTTTTTCATAAATTGTCATAATTGTAAAAGAAAATAAATTCATAAAAATGATTATTTAAAGTATAAAATTTATATATAATGTAACAAAAATTATATCAACTAATAAATTCATTTGTAGTATATGGAAATGTAATATCAATATAATTTTTAAACTAAAAAGTAATAAACATATTTATTATTCGTTATATTCTTCACATCATACTACGCGCCTTTTTGTCATTGGTCTTTTCTTGATTGGTAACTATAATTACGCAACGACCAATGATATAAAAGCGCGTGTTCTGACTTCTTCTAAATTGTTGACAATGACCATTTGTTTCAGTTTATTGAGGAAATTAAATGAAAATAAAAAATGTAAATATTAAACTAATGTTAAAGAATTGAAAATGATAAGACATCCCTATGCTAATATTGATCTATCTGTTCGTGATAGAATCGTAGGCTTGGCAGGAAGTGGTTTTTCCATTAAAGAAATAGCACAAAAAGTAGAGGTACATCAAATAAAAAGGAGAACAAAATTTAATATCTCTGTCCGGACTTGTCACAGACGGATGAGCGAACAAGGCTTTTATTTATCAACACCAGCATCGAAAGTATTTTTGACGAATAATCATCTGCAACAGAGGCTAGCATGCGCGAACCTCTATGGTTCATGACCAATGGTTCATAAATAATCCAGAAATCATCCTCATTCAACATCCTCCCTGTTCTTCTGACTCAAATCCTATTGAGAATGTTTAAGTTAAATTATTTAACTAGATAAAACGTTAGAATTATGTACAAATTAATTATATAATACTTTCTTTTTTATATTGTGATTGTAGGTCTTAAAGCTCAACGATGGCGAACAAGTGGACGAATAAGACAGGACATTGCTGACAATGCAAACCTCATTTGGATCCGATTAAAAA